TCTTCAGCGGGCACGCCTGGGACGCACCCAGGACTATCTTGGGCGCACCGTCGCCTGGACATGGGACGCATCTATCTTCGAGCGGGCACGCTCCAGATCCCGCCTTCGTGGAGCGAGCCGGCTCGAGGCCAGATCCCAAGACGGGAGCGGGTGACACCCCTTTGGAAACGTACCATCTCCCAGATTGGGATCCGGGGATCGAGCTACATGACGACGGACCCAAAGATGACAGCTGGTGACCACCAAGGCCCGAAGGGGTACATTTTGCGGTGAGACTTCATGTTTGGCCACCGAGAAAGCTCTCGAGTTGCATCCCTGCTCCCACCCCTCCCTCTCTGGTGCATTTTGCCGACTGGTGCATTTTCTTTGCTGTTGCAGTTTGCCGGCTGGTGCATTCTCTCTCACTCTCTCTCCCTCTTTTCCTCTTAGCGTTGCTGCTCCACCAGAAGCTTACATTTACCTCCGACTGGCGAGTCCTTGCTGGAAACCTCCTTGCAGGACCGCAGCAAGGAGCTGTCATTTCAGGATCGCCAGGCAGCAGCAGCCCGAGTTGTGCATTGCGACTCGCGTTCAGGCGGTTTTGCCCGATACGCGCTCCGGCCAGGGACGCCAGTCGAGAGTTCCTGCAGCGCTGCGAATCCCACCAGACTTCCGGTTGGCGAGTCCTTGCTGGGAACCTTCTTGCAGGACCTGCAGAGGCAGAAGTCTTTCAGCAGGCTCGCAATTCTGGATTTCCGAAGTCCTCAAACGGCGCAGGGGCAAGCCAAGATCGCCAGAGAAGGGCCGGGCTCCAAGAGGGCGTCAAGACGGCCCAACATGGCCTCGTGGCGGCCGGCGATGCGATGCCCCCAGAACGGCCCAAGACGCATCCAAGACCGCCCGTAACAGGGGTCCAAAAGGAGGAAGTCGAGCGGGTTTTGAGAGCAGTGCGCCCAAGACGGCCCTGACGACCTCCGACCGAGAGCACCCGAAGGAACACAACAAGGTCCAAGAGATACAAGAGGACCCCAAGACGGCCCAAGATGGGCCCAAAATGGCCCCAGCACAGCCCCAAGAGGGCTCCAAGACAGCCCAGGCCCCCCAAACGGCGCCAAGGTTTCCAAGATGGCCCAGGCTGCTCCCAAGACGGCTCCGGCTCCGAAAACGGAGGCCAAAGGCCCCCAACACCGCAGTTCCAGTATGCGTCCAAGAGGCTTCAAGACGAACCATGGACGGCTGGAGGGCGCGGACGCTCTTCAATCATGCCCCCCCGGAAAGTCAGAGTCATCGAATTGGAAGCCTTGCCGGTGCGACCTTGATGGGTTTTCTTGGCTTCTGTGCGCCTCGGCTTGGCCCCAGATGCGTGGCCAGGAAGGGCGGGGGCGGCTTTCGATATTCCGTGGCGTGGCCTTGGTGGCGTGAATGTTGGAGCCGGATTCGGGCACCCAAGGTTGGATCCAAGGAAGCGCAACAAGCATCGAATAAACCCCAGGACTCCCAGACCCGTCGCAAGGATCCGAAAAGTTCATTGCCGCAGGTCCCTGCCACCCCCGAAGGATCTCCGGAATCGCCCCTGCACTCCCCATTTGCAATTTGCGATATTGGTTCTTTTGGGCGCGGCTAGAACCTAAGCGCGCGTTGGTGGTTTCGTGTGTACATATGGATATATACATATATGTGTATGTATGTAGATATATATTTATATATATGTGTATATATATATATAGTTGTATACATATACATATGTGTGCATATTATATGTATACATAACATACACACATGACGGGAGCTCCCGGGCCCCTGGCCCCGGACCGCTGCCCCACCTGTACACTCTGGCCCCTGCCCCCCCGACGGCTCCCCCGGCCGACTCCCGGACGTCCGAGGCCGCCCACGAACGATCCAGGGACGCCCAAGATGGTCTCGGCACCGACCAAGTGGCTCCCAGGAGGCACCGAGCCGGCCCTTGAGACCCAGAAGAGCGCCCCCTCAGAAGGCCCCCCGAGGTCAGAGATTCTAGTGGTCCGTGGTTTTGGGCCTCCCCACAGTTTCGATGTTCGGATGTGCTGAGACGCCCCACGAAGCCCCCAATGCGGCCCCCAGGCGGCCTCACAGGCCCCCAAGAGGGCTCCCAGACGGGCCAAGATCAGGAGGAAAAAAACACACAGACACAATTCATCGTCGATTCCCAGAAGATATGGGCAAGTATGGGAAGTGTGGGGGGGGAGACAATAGCCGAGAAGGTATTGCAAAATGTGGGGGATCCTCGGATTTGTGTGTATTTATGTGTGTGTGTGTGGCCCTGGGCCCCCGCCTCCCCGGGCCACTCTCGGGCGCGCGCGGGCGCGGGGGACCGATCCCGGGACGCCCGACGGGGTCCCGGCACCCACCTGAGCGGCAGCGAGGAGGCGCCGGGGGGGCGCCCCCCAAAGAGACGCAGCAGAGCCCCCCCCCCCCCCCCAAGAAGGCTCCGAGACGCCAGAGCAGATGGTGTCTCCCTCGTGTCTTTCCTGGCGCTTAGCAGCTTTGCCTCCGCGATGCCCCGAGGTGCCAAGGCGGCCCGCGAAGCCCCCCCCCGAAGCATGGCCCCCGGGCGGCCTGCTGCGCCCCCCAGGGGGCTCCCAGACGGGCCAAGAGGCGGCCAGGAGGGTCTGTCTCCCCTGGCGACCCCTCGGCGCCCGAGCCTGCTCGAGACCGATCCGCGGACGCTCACGGCGGTCTCGGCACCGACAAGATGGCGCTCGGGAGCCGCTGGGCCGCCCTCCAGAGACGCAGAAGAGCCCACCCAAGGAAGCCCCGAGAGGCCAGACTATGGCTTTCCTGGTGTTTTTCCAAGGTGTTTCGCCTCTTCGCCCTTTCGACGCTCCGATGTGCCAAGACGACCCACGAGGTCCCCAAGATGGGCCCCAGTCGGCCTCGCACGCCCCCAAGTGGGCTCCCAGACGGACCAAGAGAGTGCCAAGGTGGGTCTGGAGGCGCCCAAGAGGGCCCCAAGAGGGCTCCAGAAAGGCCTTGGCAATTAGGTAATTACCAACGGGCCCTTGGTTGATCACCTACTTCACGCGGCCCTCGGGGAACCCTCTGGGAGCTATTTTCCGAACCCGCCTGGGGCCCTGGTGAGGCTCCGAGAGATCCCTGGGAGCTCAACGAGGAAAGCTCCACTGGACCTTAAAAAGTGTCCCAGACGGCCCCAAACAGCTCCAAACAAGCCCCTGGCGTGGAACCCCAGACTTGTCCCGACCTCGCACATGTCGTCGGCAATATCCCAGGAGCTTTCCTCGTCATCGCCGTCGCCGAGGCCGCGGTGCGACGCTTCCATTCCGCCGATGCCACGCCTCCATTTCCCGCCTCCCCCCCGCCGCCGCCGTCGGCTCTGCGGTCTGGGAATGGGGCCGAGGGATGGGGCTGGCTAGAGCGCGCACGAAGCGCGCGCGTGGCTCCAATTACAGATATGCGTATATAGATATAGATATACATAAACGTACGCATGAAAAACATATAGTTATAAGTAGATGCGTGTTCGCACAGGTGGGGAGAGGGCTCCAGGAACCGACTCGTTGCTCAATGATACCTCCATTTTCCTGCTTAGTGCTTCGTCCCTCCTGCCCCCCTACTCCTGCCCCCCTACTCCTGCAACCCTCCTCCCTCCTACCTCCTCCCTCTTCCCCCCAGCACTCCTCCCTCCCTCTCTCCCGTTTTCCTCTCACTCCTGCGTCTTTCCGTGCCCCACCCTCCTTCCTTCCTCTCTCTCTCTCTCGCTCTCTCTCGTGGTTGTCGGTTGAAGCGGTCGGTCATGTACGATCCCCCAGGCGCGAAGGATTCGAAGCCAGGAGGAGGACAACACGGGGAAGGCCATGATGATGAAGAGTTAGAGCAATACGAGGAGCGATACGTAAGGAGGATGAGGATCAAAAGTCAGGAGGAGGGAAGACGAGGCGTGATAAGTGACGACGAGGACGGTCGAGAGAGGTCGAGAGAGGAGCAGGGGACTGGCGGAGTGGGAGTGAGTTGAAGATGTCCAGGCAGAAAGGAGGCGCATGATCTGGAAACGAGGAGCAATGAGGAGGCGGATGGGGATCAGGGATTGGAGAGGGACGCGGAGGCGACGGCACACGGAAAGGCCACGATGGGGGGCAACCAGGCATGGCGTGGCATAGCATTGCGCGAGTGGCGCCTACTCACCGCCGCATATGGGGCTTCAAGGAAGTACAAGTTGATCTCGCGCTGCGCGCGATATAGTATTGGCGTGTATACTTAAGAGTCGAATTACTTCTGAGTCGAATAGTAAGCGATCGCGCGTAGACAGGGTCCCTCTATCAGTCACATCGGTCACACCTTTTCCACGCGATGCGAACTCCAGCGCAACTTGATCGAATGAGTTCCACCAGATTATTGGGAATGAGGGGTGGAACGGGGGAAGGCGGGAACCGTAGAAACGTGGAATTGGACACATGTGGAAGAAGGGAGGAGCGCGAACAGGACGGAGCAGTGGAAGGGGGAGAAGGAGAGGGACAGAGGAGGGAGGAGGGGAGGAGGATAGGGGGGTTGAAAGGAGCAGGGACGAGAAGAAGGCGGAGGAGGAGAGCAGGAGAAACGGCAGCCAGAAGACCAGCAGGAGGAAGAGGAGGAGGGGATCAGGTTGGCGATGAAGATGGAGGAGAGGCTGGAATGAGCTGAAGGTGGAGGAAAGTGGAGGCGGGAGGAGGAGCAGCAGGCGAGGGGAGAAGTAGCAGGAGGAGGAAGGGATCACAGACGGAGTCTGCAGGGCTCATTTCGATTCTTCCGACTCGATTCGATTTCGATCGATTCCGATTCCGACTCGAGTCGATTTCGGGTTTCAATTTCGACTAGACTGCCGACTTCAGCCGATTCGACTTCTCACGAGTTGGCTGACGATTTTCGCCGATCTGATCAATTTCGATCGCCGATCCGTCTCGTCGGTTCGATTCTGGGCTCGCTCGAGCCCTGGGAGGAAGGGAAGCAGAAGGCGTTTGGGTGGTCGCCGGCCCTGCGCGCCCTCGTCGAAGCGGGGACGCAGGGGGGCCGCGCCAGTGCCGGTGGCCCCCGGGCCCGTCCTCCTCGCCCTCGTCCTTCCTCGCGTTCATCGTCGTCGCCCTCCTCGTCTGGGGAGGGGGCCCTGTCGCGGGGGTAGCGTCAAGTCGGGCGTGTCCCTCTACAGGAGGGATATTCACAAATACTCCAGAAATAGTCTGGGGACGATCTCCTCTGCATGTTTTAATAATTCTCTTGCACACTCATGTTCTAGAGCTCGGACCTCTTTATTTTCGTGGTTCGTCCTCGTCCCCCTGGCTCTGGCTTCCCATCCTCGTCGTCGTCTCCCTGCCCCCCATCCCCTGGCCTCCGCGCCCCAACCCGGACCTCTGGCTCCTGGTCCGAGCCCCAGTCCTCCTGCCCTGGCCCTGAACCCAGCCTCCCTCCTTGGCTCTGGCGTCCCCTGGCCCTGGCCCCAGCCCCCCTCGCCCTGGACCCTTTATTTTAGTGGTTCGTCGTCGTCCCCCTGGCTCTGGCCTGCTTCCCCTGGCCCCCTCGCCCCCGCCTCCTGTCCTGGCCCTGAACCAGACCTCTCTCCTTGGCTCTGGCGCCCCCCCCTCGCCCCAGACCCTTTCTTTTCGTGGTTCGTCGTCGTCCCCCCTGGCTCTGGCCTGCTTCCCCTGGCCCCCTCGCTCACGTCCTCCTGCCCTGGCCCTGAACCCAGCCTCCCTCCTTGGCCTGGCGCCCCCTGGCCCTGGCCCCAGTCCCCCTCGCCCCAGACCCTTTCTTTTCGTTGTTCGTGGTTTGTCGTCGTCCCACTGGTTGTGGCCCGCTTCCCCTGGCCCCCGTCCCCCTGGTTCTGGCCCGCCCCCCCTCGCCCCCTCGCCCCAACCCAGACCTCTGGCCTCTGGTCCGAGCCCCAGCCCTCTGGCCCTGGCTGAACTCAGTTTGTTTCCTGGCCTTGGCCCCACTCGCCCCGACCCTGGCCTTCGCCCCAGCCCTCCTCGCCCCGGACAATGTATTTTCGTGGTTCGAACCCAGACCGCTGGCCCCTGGTCCGAGCTTCAGTCCCCCTGCCCTGGCCCTGGACCCCTACTCGCCCCGACACTGGCCTTTGGCCCAGCCCTCCTCGCCCGGGATTCTTTATTTTCGTGGTTCCGTCCCCCTGGCTCTGGCCCCCCATCCCCTGGCCCTCTCGCCCCCCACATGCCCATCCTCCTCCTCCTCCTCCTCCTCCTCCTCCTCCTCCTCCTCCTCCTCCTCCTCCTCCTCCTCCTCCTCCTCCTCCTCCTCCTCCTCCTCCTCCTCCTCCTCCTCTTTCTCTCCTCAAATGTGCAAGAGCCAGGGCACGCGTGCCACTTGTTTTGGAATATGTTTTGACTATTTTTCATTTTCGTCCACAATCAGCCTGTAGGGGGACATGCCCGACCTAAGGGTATAGTGGTTCCCAGAGATCCGAGGATCTGATTTTTCCAATCCAGTGTTTTTTCCTGGATGTCGGCCTCCCGGGCCCGTCATCGGGTCCATCAGCAATGGATCTGGAACCAAAGAAATCCACCCCCGGGGAAGGGGTCGGGACCTCTTAGGGCCGCGGACTGAAAGATCACATCGGCGGATGTCTGGGTGCCCAGCCTGTCAAAGCCGCACCCCTTTCAGAGGGGCAAGCTGCCATGATGCTGACACGTTCCGGGATGTCCAGGATCGAGGGCCGCTAGATGATCCCGAGTTCCTGGAACGCATCCCGAGCCAATTGCACCATGACAGACTTCTCGTCCGACCCTCGTCATCACCACCACCTCCGTTCCTCCTCGTTGTCACCACGACAGACTCCTCGTCCGACCCTCCTCCTCCTCCTCCTCCTCCTCCTCCTCCTCCTCCTCCTCCTCCTCCTCCTCCTCCTCATCCTCGGTGTCCCCCCCTTTGTGGACCCTTCGCCCCCCGCTCGTCGATCCTTCCTCCCCTCCCTTCCCCTTTCCCCGCCCCGCCGCCCGGGACATGGACGGCGGCGCTGGCAGCGAGGCCCGCGGCGGAGGGGGCTCGGAGGGCGCTCCCCTGCGGAGCTTGGCCCTCGTCGGCGCCGCTCGGGTGCTGCTGCAGTCCGACTACGTGTTCCTGTCCTTCAACTCCGACACGCTGCTGCTGGAGATGTGCGGCGGGGACCAGATGCGCTGCCAGAGGTAAGCCGGGCGTGTGCCTCTACAGGAGGAGTGCTCAAACATATCGTGTTTAGAAATTTAGAGAAAACAGTCCGGGGACGTCTTCCTTCTATGTCCGAGCATTTGGGAGGTATTGTTCTTGAGTAGTTTCAGGTGTTCGCCCAGAGTCCCCCTGTAGGGGGCCAGGCCCGACCTGGTGCCAGAGGCTGCTGAACCGCAGCGGCGTGGCTCACACGCTGCTGTCGTTCCTGCTGCAGCCCCTCGCGGGCGCTCTGCCCGACGCCTACGGGCGCAGGCCCTTCGTGCTGGCCGCGCCTCTGCTGCTCTCCGCGCTGCGGGGCGCGGTGTCGAGGCCCGGGTCTGGCGTCGCCTCGTTTTTCGTGTACCGTCATCTGGCCAGCCTCGCAATGCTGCCGTACATATCTGCTATGGTTAAGTCGGGCCTGTCCCTCTGCAGGGGGAATAGATTCAGCAATAGTCAAGACATAGGCCGAGCACTTTCGTTCGACTGTGTTTGAGCATGTGTTGTGCATGCTTGGAATATGGTTAATTAAGTCCAAAATCCGCCTGTAGGGGGACGGGCCTGACTTAATGCTATGACCAGCATGATATCCGACATGCTTGGCCGGGGTTCCGACGCCGCCGTGGTGTTCAACCGCCGCACAGGTCTGGTCGCCACCGTCCTGCAGCTGGTGCTGACGCGATCGCTGTCGCTTGTGCCGCATCCGCGCTACGGGTTCCGCCTTGCTGCAAGTTTCTCATTTCGGGCTGGACGAAGGAGGGGGATTGGGAAACGGGGGGGCTTACGACATTTGCTGCATGCAGCTGGTTTCGGCCTCACCGAGGGGCCCATTCCTCGATATATAGCCGCCTCCGGCGCGGGGAGGCGCCAGGAAAATCAGCTACGTGAGCTGATTCTCAAACCCCCCCTTTGCTATCCCCCCCTTTCGCCCAACCCGATCATTGTGCTCGTTCGTGCTGCTTCTGCTGGGGGCGCGCGAGACGCTACCGCCAGCAAAGCGCTTGCAGGGGCGCCCCGACTGGAAGTCCTTGGTGCGGGAGTTCTCGCCCTTGGGCTTCCTGGAGGTGTTCGGGAGAACGAGGGCCATGCGAGCGCTTGCCGTCTGCACCGTCCTGAACATGCATGCCGGCACGGGCCTGAATAATGGCACTCTGTTGCTGTTCCGGAAGCACAAGCACGGTTGGGGGCAGGCTCAGTTCGGGGAACAAACAATGACATAAACATACATGTTCGGAGGTCCGCGCGGATTTCTTAAATCGGCGCTGGACCCCTTCCCTGGCGCGTTCCGTGCGCCAGGGGCGGCGCCAGAGGTGCCGCCAGGGGGGCCCAGCGCCGATCCGAGAAATCCGCGCGGACCTTCGAACGTTTATGCTTCTGTCATGATCTTGGCATCGATCGGGCGTGTGCATGTGTCTCGACGGGGACCATCGAGGAGCATTCAGGGCCATCCTGCGGCAGAGAAAACGCACGACACCGAGGAATGCACGGCGAATTGACGTCCCAGCGAGGGCAAGGTGTTTGTTCCCCGATCCAGCAGAGCAACCAGATGCTGGTGGCGCAGGCCTGTGGCCTGTGCGAGTCCGCCGTGCAGGGCCCCGTGCTGCGCAAGCTTGGGCTCGGGGGCGCCCTGCGCTGGGGCGAGCGCCTCGGCGCCCTGACGGACCTGAACACGGCCGCGTCGCCGGACCAGCGCACGTTCTATCCCCAGACCCCCGACGTCATGATTTTTTCATGACGCGACCCCCAGAGGTCTGGACACATTCCCCGGGACCGGTGTTTCATCCCGAGTCGTTTTTTCACGGTCCTGAGGGCCGGTAAGGGTCCCCAGAGGCCGAAAATAGCGAAAAACCTGCCGTCGTGATTTTTTCATGACTCGAGGGGGTCTGGGTCTCAGAGGAGGGCGAGTTTCGGCTGCGCGTGAGAGTACGGCAGGTTCGCGTCGCGTCGACCGGCGGCGGCCCCAGCGCGGGCGTGTATGGTTGAACGCCGCCTCCTCCTCCTCCTCCTCCTCCTCCTCCTCCTCCTCCTCCTCCTCCTCCTCCTCCTCCTCGCTCCGGAGGGCATCCGGCCTCTTGGAAAGGGCCGCTCCTTCATGAATGAACGATCCCCGCGGTGTCAGGAGCAAACGCCAGGGTCGACACGACGCGAACTTGCCGTAGCCCTTCGCAGGAGTGCTTCAGCATGGGTTTGCGCGCTTAAATCTGCCCTCTCCGCGGCCACCTGATGCCGCGCACCGCATGTCACTCTTGCCGAGGGTATGATGCTCCAACCTACTTTAGCCTTGATCACCAGAGAGAATTTCGAGCGCCCGAAAAAGTGCCGAAACTCAAGGGTTTTCACGTGTCGGGCCCTGGGAAACACTCGCCCGACAGTGTTTCGACACTGTTTCGACACTCTTTTGACACTTTTCCGGGTGCTCGAAATTATTTCTGGGATGTGGTCCTTAAGTAGGATGGGAACAACATAAGCCGAGGGTCGCTCTTGCGTGCCGCCGAGAGTTGAGACCACGGCAGACGGCCTCCAGGTGAATCATCGAAAATGGCATGAACAATTGTTCGGAGGTCTGCGCGGATGTCTGGGATGAGCGCTGGACTCCCTTCCCTGGCGCACGCACTCCACGCGCCAGGGGCGGCGCCGGAGGCGCCGCCAGGGGACCCAGCGCCAATCCAAGAAATCCGCGCGGAGCTCCGAAAATTATTGTTTATGCAGGTGTTTGCTCGTCTTTTCGGGGGGGGGGGTCCGCGTCGCCACGGCTGGACGCAGCTTGGACATTTCGCGCGTTTGGACCCCAGGAGGGGTCCAAGGACCGATTCTGAGCTTCTGCTGTCTCAGCTCGCACTGCTCCGACTATCTGAACCCGGTGTTGCAAGCTCTGAGGCAGAGCCCCACTGTGCTGGATCGCGCGCTGGACGCGGAGGCCCGGTTGCAGGGCGTCAGCCAGGGACGCCTGGCCGCCGCGGAGGAGAACCTCACCTTCGTCTTCCGCCTCCTGATGCCGAGCGTCTTCTCGGAGCTGTACGTGCGAACCCTGGAGTGGCTCCCCGGCGCCAACTTCCTAGCGAGCGCGGCGTGCCAACTCGTGAACTCCGAGATTGTGGCGCCGTGGGCGTGGAGGCAGCTGAGCCAGGAAACCCTAGATCAGGTCTCGAGCGCGTGACTGGCTCCCGCCTCCCCCCTCCCTCGGGGGACGCCGACTGGCCGCCTACACGCTGGTCGTTGAATGTAGGGGCTGTTGGGTATCCAGATCCCAATCTACTCCCAGCGCCTTCCTACTTCAAGAATCGGCGTGTTCTTGCTTGTTGTTGTTGTTGCCGCATTGTTTCACCACTAGCGGCACCCTTGCGCCACCCTGCAGTGCCCCCGCGGCACCCAGACTGCAGGCCGCTCGTCCGAACCCAATATACTCCTTCCGCTTCCCTACTTCATGGTTATATCTATTTCTTCCAACTGGCGTGTACGCATGGTGACCAAGAACGGTGGAGAGGAGGAGGAGGTGGAGGAATAAGCATGAGGAGGAGGAGGGGTGGGAGGAGGAGATGGAGGAGGAGGAGGAGGAGGAGGAGGAGGAGGAGAAGGAGGAGGAGGAGGAGGAGGAGGAGGAGGAGAGGAGGACGAGGAGGACTGGGGGAGGAGGAGGAGGAGGAGGAGGAGGAGGAGGAGGAGGAGGAGGAGGAGAATACCTCAGGTTCGGCGGGGACCGCGGCATCTTTGACGGATGAGGCATATCAGCATGACCAGGTCGTGTGCCTCCAAGAGTGCAAGGTGCTCAAGCCCAAGAGTTCGCAGAAAGAGAGCGAGATGAACTCCGACGGCTGGAAGTTGAGATTGACGGGCGCAATCAAGACTGTTCAGGGCGGGGTGTCTTCGGGAGTTGCACGTCGGTGTCGGGCAGGTGCATGGAGCTCACGATCATCTCATACATGCCAGGTGCTCCGTCGTCTGGGTCAACGGGTGCGTGAAACGGGGCTTCGACGTGGCCTCAGTGTATTTGCCAGACGGTGCGGGCTTCTTAGGAGCCAAAGGGAAGCAACTGTTGAACCAGTTGGGTGAATTCCTGTCTGCTGCCCAGAAGCCTTTCGTCATCGCAGGGGTCTTGAACAGCCGACCCTCAGAGGTTCAGCAGGCCCCAGGCGTGCCCAAGATGAGGGGTATCGTCGTCAACTGTAATAAACCGACTTGTCGTGTGGGGAAGTCTTGGAGGGAATTGGATTTCTTCGTGGTTTCCCATGACCTGGGGGGGGGGGTGCTGTGCCCTGCGATCGTGTGGATGACTCGGCCCACACGACACACTACCCAGCTCGATTGGTCTTGAGCGCCGACGCGCACACTAAGACGAACCGCTGTTTGAAGTTGCCCAAGCCGCTCCCGCTAGACAATCCGATAGGACCGATCCCTGCCCGAAAGGACTAGACTTATCTAGATAGGCTCTTCACAGGTTTCCATGCAGATGAGTCGGAGGACACTCTGCCCACTATATACGGCCTCCTGTGCGAGCACAGTATCTAGTTGGGCGATGTCCCAGGCATTGCGGGTCCAGAGAAAAACGATTACACTGGAAGGGGCCCTGGGTATCGCATCGTCGACAAACCGATCTTGGTGTATGCCGAAGGGCCGCATCTAAAATGTTCGAAATCAGCCCAGGCGGCTCGAAAGTAGCAGGTGTGGCTGGAGGAACTGCGTTATCTCAGGGGCCGCGGGCACTCTTGGGATGAGGATGGAGTTCGCGATCTCGTTAGTAAGCTTCGACGGGTTCACCCTAACGTAAGGGACGTCGCATGGTGGGAGGACTTGCATAGCCTGCTGCGCGCCCGCCTGCCGTGGAGCGCGGACGAGGCCCGGCTCGATGAGCTGCAGGTGGCCGTTCGGGCCCTCGCTGACCAGGAGGAGGTGGATACCAAACGTAGGAGAACTAGAGAGTGGAGGTCTTGGGTTTCACAGTCTCTGGATCCTGGAGGAGGAGCCATGTACCGGTGGACGAAGGAGCCGCAAGGACGGGGCCCCGACCCTGAAGGACCTCAGCATGGGCCCTGCGGACCCACGGACACGGTTGATCAACTGCTTGAGAAATGGGACGACACCTGGCATGTTGGGGAGGCCCAAAGGCTTGAATCATGTGACCTCCGAGTCACTCTGCCTGAGCCCCCAGCGGCTCCAGCGGCAGACCAGCCCCGCCAAGTCCTTAAGAAGTTCAAGAAACAATCTGCAATAGTAACCGGCGGGTGGAACCCTGAGGTGCTGCTGTATCTGAGCGACAGTGCCTTAACAGTTGTTGGTAAGTTCCTCCCGCTCATAGAAATCCAGTTGCTGACCCCAGGGCAGTGCGACTTGTCGCTGATTGCGGTCCTCAAGAAGCCAGATGGCGGGTACCGCCCGATCGGGGTGCTGGTGACGTGCATTCGTACATGGGGAAGGTTGAGGAGGAAAGAGGCATGACAATGGGAAAGGGAGCATGATAGGGATCGAATATACGGGCCGAAAGGGTGGAGTTGTGAGAGGGCGGCGTGGCAGCAGGGAGTGGGTGTCGAGGCTGCTCAGGCGATTGGGGCTAGCATTGGGTCCGGGCTAACCGACCTGGAAAATGCTATGAGAAGATCTCACATGGCGTCGTCTGGAGAGCTTGTACCAAGCATCGATTCAATCTGCGCCGTGCCCGATTGCTCCTGCAAGTCTATGGAGGCACTCGGAGGTCGAGGGTACGCGAGCTTGTTTCGCCAGTGTTGGCCATCACGCGCTCGATTGTTGCAGGATGCTCCTTTGCCACAACCACGTTGCGCATTGTGATCCGTGATGCACCCATGTACATGAAAGAGAGATGGCCTTCCCTCTCCGTGCATGCGACGGTGTATGGGATTACGTCGTCGCTGGTAGGCATGACAAATTGAGTTCGGGCTGTCTTGGGCAAAGCCATACCAGATCTGTGCAGACAACTAGAAAAGATGGAGATGGTAGTTTCCAAGAAGAAGTGCCAGGTTATGGCGTCCAACCCGCAGATTTCAGAGCAGCTGGGCAAGGCGCTCAATGGGCATCGGTTTAATATATGCGCTGCGGTGACGAGTATTGGGCATGACTTCCGTCAGCAGTACAGAAAAGGGAAACAGGTTCCCCAGCAGCGGATTGCGTAGCTTCGCCGCAGGGCGCACAGGTTTCGCGCTCTGAAGCATCACAGGCGCGGTCTGACACGGGTATACAGAGGAGGACGGACTGCTGCAGACGCGTATGGTGTAAGGGCCATGGAGACGTCGGATAAGGATTTGAAGAATCTCCTTGCCGCGTTTGCCCTTGCTCTGTTCGGGAAGGCCAAAGGAAGGTCGAGAGCTGCACAGTACCTCCTGGCGGATCCACCAGACCTTGATCATTTTTTTTGTCAACGCGTTGCCTTTGACCACCTGGCTTGGCTCCTAGCACTGCGACAACGCACGGTATTTTTTTTCGAAGCGGCCCTGGAACGAGAAGACCGAGGATGGGCGGCGGCCCAAGGGCCTGTAGGTGTTGTCGCACAGACCTTGAGGCGTCTTGGGTGGAAGGCGCGGTCCTGGAGCCACTGGGTTGACCCCCAAGGGCTCGACGTGGACCTCGAGAGCACCAGCGTGCCGGACCTTAAGACGGTCATTCACAGAGGGGCTAGGCGGCAACAGGAGGAGACGGCGGCGGCGCATCTTGGGTGGGATGGGCATCCATATTTCGACCATGTAAAAATTGAGCTTAGGTAGCTCTCAGGGGGCAGGGCGAACATATGAAGGCCGACCAGATTGTAACACATATGTTTGGGCGCATGTGGACTCAACAGAAGGTATCTGATGAAATGTATTCTGTGCATACCATGTGCAGTTGGCGCAAGGCAATGCCAGGCAAGATTTCGCATGGGCTGTATTCCGGCGACGGACTGGCCAGCTGGAGGCGAGAGCAAGGTTTCCAGGAACTCGTAGGCACGGGCCTCGAATTTTCGGACACGCAGCTTCTCGACGATGGCCTCGTGGACAGCCTGCGGGAAGAACTTGGGCCCCCCCGCCAGTTTTGTGAATGTAAGATGCGTTTTGTATCCTCCTAATGGAAGGCTCACCCCGACACTGCTCATCGATGGATCTGGGCTGAATCCCGGCGTTGAATGGATGACGCGCGCGGGCAGGTCGCGCGTGTCTCTGGAGCCTGGAGGGAAGGGAGTCTGTGCAGCAGCTTGCGGCCCTGTACCAGGCGTTGGGCAATCGTCAGGACACGCCGAGCACTACGCTCTCTTGCAGGCGCTGTACCTGACAACCTTCTCCGCCGTGACGATCGTCACGGACCATCAAAACATCAAAGGCCTCGCGAAAGGCCCGGACACCATGTGTGTCCCAAAGCAGTCCTTCTCTGACTTGCGGCGCCTCATCTTCTGGAAGTTTGGGGATATAGGGACGGGCAACGTGGAGATCGTGTGGATGCCCTCGCATTGGTCCAAAACGTGGCTCAGGAACCATGGGTATCCCGATGAATGGCATGTAGGAAATAGTGAGGTTGATAACTACGCCAGACTAGGAGCTATGGGACACCCCATGTCCTCTCGAGTTGCTCAGCGCGTACAGGCGGCTGAGCAAGTAGGCAGGCAAGTGGTTAGGCCTCTAGAGCCTCGCTAGTCTTGGATCTCCTGATGTAGAGCTTCTGCAGGTCCAGATTAAGTTGGCCGGCTCAAAGGATGTCGAGCCTGTGATGCAGTTACGGCTAGACCGTAGCGATTGTGGGCACCTCCCTCATGTCGCAGCAGGCGTGTAAGGGGGGGGGGGGGGGCCGAATGCGTCGCAATCATGGCAAATCCATGTCTTGGTCTGCCAAGGGTCTTGGCCAGAGCGCACGAGACCCATCGGATTAGGAGGCTTGGAGACGATTTATCTTTCTGTGCGAAGTGCGGCCGCCACGCGAGGAAGCAGGTCAAGGACCTCGCCTCGCGCTGCGGCCCCCAAACAGTGTCAGGAAAGCGGTCCCTCCGCAAGCTGAGGGCGGGCAGAGATCCGTCCAGCGGTGTGGAGGTGGGTCCCCCGTTCCCTGCGCACTGATGTTCCCATGAAGGGCGTCTTGCTGCACGGGACGGACTTGTCTGAGGCCCCAAAGGAGGAGAAAGAGGAGGAGGAGGAGGAGGAGGAGGAGCAGCAGGAGCAGGAGGAGCAGGAGGAGGAGGAGGAGCAGGAGGAGGACGAGGAGAAGGAGGAGGAGGAAAAGGATAAAGAAAAAGGCGAGGAGGAGGAGGAGGAGGAGGAGGAGGAGGAGGAGGAGGAGGAGGAGGCCTCCGCCGTCTCTTCCTCTTCCTCCGCGAGGCCCGCTGCGACTCCCGCTGGCGCATAGAAACAGTTCAGCGCGATGGGAAGGGATGGGAGAAGGGATGGGACGTCAGATGTGGCGCTAGCGTGCCCAGCTTCTGCTCCCCCTCTCCCCCTCGCCTCCTGCCCGTCCTCCTCTGCGGACCAGCCCCGCTCCGGGAGGCGCCGGTGCAAAGCCGGCTCAGCTCGGGGGAGCGATGTCGAGGCCGATGCGGGGTGGAGAGCTGGCCCCCCTCCTGGGCTTCGCAGGGAGATGTTCATATTGTATTGCGTGGCCACTGAGCAGTGGCCACGGCCAGACTGCAATGCCAGACGCAGATCGGCACTTGGAGGGAGCCAAGGTTGGAGGCCACGTGTCCAAGGGAACAGCTGGCACGACACCCGGCGGGCACACACAAAGGGATAGACGGCAAGGCTGGGCAAGCGTCAAGTCGGGCCTGTCCCTCTACAGGAGGAATATTCAAAAATAGATAAAAACATAGTCTGGGGACCATTTTTTGAGCATGTTGCGCATATTTTGAACATTATGGGGGTATGTATAAATCCCCCTTCAGGGGGACATGCCCGACCTAAGGCAAGCAGAAGTCCTCCTTATCCGTGTCCCCCCTTTATTCCCCTGGTTATCCGTCCTCCTTCTCCGTTGACCCAGCACCTCCCCGACACTCTGTCGGTGCTCCGCAGGCACATGCGCACAGTCGGGGAGGGGGGGCAGGCTGAACGGCAACGCGGTGCTGGCAGCGCAGGCGAGCTGCCGTGGACCATTGCCGATCACGTTTTGCCCTGGACGGGTAAACTCAGAACTGGCCGCAGAAGACCCTCTGCACGGCCTGCGCAGTTGCACACTCACGTCGGACGTCGTGTCCGTCCCGGGCTGGCGTTTTCCAGCTTGGCTTGGGGATGGTCTGAGCCAATCCGTGCAGATGAGCGTTGCCCGTTCCTGGTTGTTCGAGTCGGGGGCTGGACTTCGGCATGTCTTGGGCGCTGTTGGTTTCGAGCGCTTCTGGTGAACCGCGCCTGGACTGGGAGCCATTGGAGCCTCCCACCACAGAGAGAGACGCACACTCCGTAGCAATTTTGTCTCCAGCATCGTGGCTCCATTGCGCAGTCTCTGTTGCTCGAAATATGCGGAAGCTCTCGAGACGCTCTCAAGTGCTAGCATCTGGTGGCGGGGACGCTGCAAAAGTATGGGAGACGGTCAACGCTCTTGGAGCGAAACCGGGCATGATCAACATGGGACAAGGCTTTCCAGATTTTGAAGGGTCTGCCGTTGCACGGCAGCATGCCGTCGAAGCCATCAGAATGGGTGGCGCAGGCATGAACCAGTACAGTGCACAGCCCGGGCTGCTGCAGCTACGAGAGGCCATCGCAGGTTTTTGCGAACGTCGACACGGGGCTGTCTATGAGCCCACGACAGAAATTGTTGTTACAGCGGGTGCGCAGGAAGCTCTGGCAGCATCATTCTTGGCATTCCTCGATGCTGGAGACGAAATTGTATTGATCGAGCCGTTCTACCCGTTCATGCTGGGCTCCGTGCATCTGGCTGGAGCCGTGCCGCGCATGGTGACATTGCAGCCTCCAGATTTCGGAATTCCCATTGCTGATTTGCGGGACGCTGCGTCCTCGCCAAAAGTCAAAATGATCGTGCTGAACACTCCGCACAACCCGACTGGCCATGTAGCGACTGCGGAGGAAGTCAACGCCATAGCCGACATCTGCAGAGAGAAAGACCTCATCGCCGTCGCCGACGAGGTCTACGAGCACTGTGTCTTTGCAGGCCGAGCCCACCATCGGCTGGCGGACCTCCCGGGAATGCGCGAGCGGACCGTCAGCATCGGCAGCGGCGGCAAGCTCTTTTCCGTCACGGGCTGGCGGGTGGCGCGGGCCGCTGGGCCAGCAGAGCTGCTGAGGCCTCTGGGGCAGGTGCACACGCACCTCACGTTCAGCGCTCCCACGCCTCTGCAGGCTGGCATCGCAGCGGCACTGGGGGCAGACGATGGGCTTCACGGTGTCGCGTGCCTCTTCGCCGGCAATTTTGAGCTCCTGTCGACGGCGCTTCTTTCCGTCCCAGGCGTGAGAAGAATCTGTGCGGCGCAAGGGGGCTACTTCCTCGTCGCCGAGACAGACCGCCGTGATGTGGATTTCTGTACCATGCTTGCAGAGGAGTACCAGATGGCTTGCACGCCCATGTCTGTATTCTACGTCACGCCATTCGCAGAAGACTCGCCCTGCAACCTTGTGCGGTTCACGATCTGCAAGTCCAGGGAACTGATCGAGCGCGCTTGTAAAGCGTTGGCAGGAAAGCCTATTGGAGAAGCCGCCACCTCAGCAAAGAGACAGCGCACTGCATAGCCAGCGTTGCAAAATACATCGCGCGCGGTTCGCATTCGCTCGGACCATCTCGTAGCGTTAAGCCGGGCAGGTCCCTCTACAGGAGGGATATTAAAAAAAAACAGTCCAGCAATAGTCTGAAGACGATTTTTTCAATGTTCGCACATGTTTTGCACAGTTTTGGTGCACTCGTCTTGTATTGTTCGTCAAAAATCCGCCTGCAGGGGGACAGGCCCGACGGACTCGCGGCGCCTCGAGCACGGTGGAGGGAGGCGTGCAGCGCCGTGGACCCCGGGTGGCCCCCCCGCCCCGGGCCGCTTGGCGTCACCCCAGCAGCCTCGAGTGACCAGGATTTCTTTGCTCCGAGGGCCTCTACGATTATGCGTACACCATTGTTACTGTTCGTATGATTGTTATTGCAATTTCTCGTTAATAATAGTTGATAGCAGGATCAATACCGTTCCCAGCACACTCATCATAAGAAGGCGAACAATATGACTAAGCAGGACCCGAACCATGACAAGAAGAGGAAGCAGTACCCTGACACGTCGATTAAGGAATTGGCCGTGTTCGGTTCGCGAGAGGGCGTCGCGGCCGCCATTTTTGCGGGTCCAGGTCCGTCAGTTTCGGTCCCAGGCCGTTTTCACTAAAGGGTGTTTTTTTAAAGGGAGGTTTGCCCACCGCCGAATGGGGTCCGAGCATGTTCGGAAACTGGAACATATACATTACCAGTGGCGGGGTGTTTTTCAGTCCCAGAACTTTTTGAGGGTCGGAGACGGCGTCGGAGTGGTGTGGTGTATACAATTTTCCCCGTTCTCCCGTGGAAACAACGAAAAATGTATACGCCAGGATCCCGTATACACCAGGATCCGCTTTCTTGTGCGATTTTCAATGCGGGGCCGTAGAAAACGTCGGTGTACAGAGTCCGTGGGCTCGGATGATCGCCGCATCGACGATGCATCGGCGATGCGGCTCGATGTGGAGGTCGATTTTCTCCACGCCGACGTCGCCGATGCATCGCCGGTGCATCGCCGATGCGGCGCGATCCTCCGACCTCGTTTGCTCCGACCGCATCTCGGATGCCTCTAGAATTAAGTCGGGCGTGTCCCTCTACAGGAGGGATATTCAAAGATAGTCCAAAAATCGTATGGGGGCGATGTTTTGACTATGTTGGATCATTTTTTATATATTTTCTGGGTGTGTTGAATTTTTCCGCCCAACATCCCCCTGCAGGGGGAACAGGCCCGACCTAACCCCACCGCCTCTTTCACGTCATCCGCATATCCGGTCGGACCGGGGTATAAGATCCAGGTCGGTTCGGAGAGGGCACCCTCGTTTTCGCGCGTGCTTGTCGCATGAAAATCAGGAGGGGAAAAAACACACAGACACAATTAATCGTCGATCCCCCAGAAATATAGGAAAATATGGGAATTGGGCGGGAAGACAAAAACCCAGAAAATATGGGAAAATATGGGGAATCTTTTTATTTGTGTCTATTTATTTGTGTGTCCCAGTTCCCCTTCAGAAAAGGGCACCCTAGGTGATCTTATGGTTTGGGGTGTCTTGGCCGGCGGAGGGCCTCATGCTTTTGGAGGATGTTCTTCTGTCCTTGGTCCTGCTCTGGCTCATCCTCGTTCTCCTCCTCGCCCCCCCCCTTTCGCCCGTGCCCCCCTCGCCAGCAGCGGCCGCCATTCGCCCGCGAGGCAGGCGGGCCCTGCTGGAAGCGGGTCATCAGGCCTGTTCACTGCTCGTGGCAACCCCTCTGCTTATGATGCTCCAACCTGCTTTAGCCTGGACCACCAGAAAGAATTTCGAGCGCCCAAAAAAGTACCGAAACTCAAGGGTGTTCACGTGTCGGGCCCTGGGAGACACTCGCCCGACACTGTTTCGATACTCTTTTGACACTTTTCCGGGTGCTCGAAATTAGTTCTGGGATGTGGTCTTTAAGTAGGATGGGAACAACATAACCCTCTGCCTTCCATGAGGTCCTGGGTTGTCCGAAATCCGCTCAGGGCGAGAAGCAGGTCCTGCGAGGAGGCCCTTGGGGCCAGCACCCGTTTCAGGACCCGCATGCTCCATACCAGAGCATCATCCACGAGCGCCGTCGCAGACGAGCGCGTCCGGGGGTCGCCCACCCCAAAAGCTTCTAGGGGCACCCTGGAACCTCCCCCTGCTCCTCCTCTTACTCCTTCTACTCCTCGTCCTGCTCCTCCTCCTCCTGCTCATCCTCCTCCTCTTCGTCCTCCTCCTCCTCCTCCCTGCTCCTCCTCCTCTTCCTCCTCCTCCTCCTGGAACCTCTCCCTCCTTCAAGCAGTAGCGAAGCGTCCTGGCTCGCCTATAGCCCTACCAAGCAATGTTCTAAGAACCTTTTGTGATTTCCACAAAATGTTCTTATAACATTGCTGGCGGAGGCTGTCTTGTTTTAGCACGTCGGGTTTATGTTCTAAGAACACTTCGTCCCGCTCCTCCTGCTGAACTCCGGGAATGCCGGGACGGTCGGTCCCTTCTCAATTGTTGTTCCTCCTCTTACTTCTCCTACTCGTCGTCCTGCTTCTCCTCCTCATCCTCCTCCTCTTCCTCCTCCTTGCGCATGCGGTTTAGGAGACCGCCTGAGCGTATCAGAGTACAGTGAGGAATCGATCCAAGGATGGAGTACTTCGGCAGGCATGCCCTTGCATCCTTGACTCTACGGCCCGTCCATGGGCAATTTCGGACGTCCCATAGTCGTGCGTTGGCGAATGCCCAAGGGCTTTACATCCTTATGACCCTTAAGCGGAGTTACGGGTGTGCCTCTGCTTCTGTCCGCTCAGAGAGGCACGGCCCGACTGAAATTCCAGGACCACCAGCAAAGTCGTTTCAGGACCTGATCCTCCCGGGGACGCCCCCCCCCTCCTCCAACGCAGAGGCGAACCCCAGCGGAACCGTCTGCAGCATCTCTGTCTCTTCCCTCCAACTCGGGCTTGGGAGGCCGCCTGGCCGCATCTCGAGCGCATCCCTGCTCCTCTCCTCCCGGAGGGCGGCTCGGCCCGAGGCCCGGGGCAACGCCGGGGGCTTCCGGCGGCCATGGCGGCCGCCGGCGGCGGCTCCGGGAAGCGTGCGGAGGGGGCCGCGGAGGACAAGTGCCGCGGCCCGCCGCGGGGAGTCGCACAGCGCACCGTCTGGGGGCCTCCTCCGCCCCCCCACGTTCTTTCTGTTCCTCCTCCTGCTCCTGCTGCTCCACGTCTTGTCTCATAAGATAACTCCTCCAGGGCTGGACCCGAACAGTGTTTTTGGTGATTTCGTGGGCCGTTTTCGTGTCGACTTCGTTTTGCGGTAAAGGCGGATTCGGGGCAAAAGCGAGGGAAAGCAAAAACATAACGAAAACGAAAAACACCGTTTAAGTTCAGCCCTGAACTCCTCCCTGTCGCACCCCGAGGCCAGTCGGAAGGGCGAGCCGGGCGTTCCGCTTGAGACTTCATTACTATGTATAGTCATATCAGAACTTGTAGCTGACAAGTTGGCAACAGTTTCACAAGTGGAGGGGTGGCCGCTTCCAAAGTGTGGCTCGCCTGAGCGCCGCGCACACTCGTTTGCAAGAACTGCAATAGTTTCGCGGATTGAGGACGGGTGGCTTTCAAGATGTGGTTGTCGCCCTAACGCAGTGCACATTCGTTTTCAAATTTTGCACGAGATTAGCAGATTAAGGGTGGGTGGTTTTCAACATGCAAGTCTCGCCTTAGCACCACGCACACTCGTTGTAAACATGTGCAAGAGCTTTACGGATTGAGGGCGGGTGGCTTTCAAAATGCGGTTCTCGCTTTAGTCCCGAGAACATTGGCTTTAAAACTTTGCAAGCGCTTCACGGAAAAAGAGCGGCTCGTTTTCAAATTGTGGTTCTCGTTTGAGCACCGCGCGGATTCGTGTCAAAAATTGCCCCCGTTTTATCGATTCTCATAGTTATTGTACCAGAAACGTCGTTGTGGAGCGATTGAGGACTGTCAGGGCGCAACGGTTACGTTATGTTGATTCGCGGTATTGAGCTCCCAAAAGTGGCGCGGTTTGCCACGATTCAGGATCGTCCAAACGCAAAAGTCAGGATTCTCTCGTGGCGTTGACGTCCTGAGCATAGTGTTCTGGCGTGCTTCCGGATTTTCACACGGTTGTCCCCCAACGGGACACTTCCTTCAGTGGAAATGAGTATGTGTAGGGTCCTATGAAGTGGGAGCTTGGAGAGAGGGTGTATTCCAACAGCGTTGGTGCGTTTTTGGTTTACACAGGGCCAGACCTTTGCTCCCGACAGTCCTGTTCCTCCTTTGCTCCCGACAGTCCTGCTCAGGGCCAGAGGACTCTCACCTAGCGGTGCTGAGCTATTGGAAGATCCTTCCTTTCGTTATCAGTAGGGCGGCCTAGATGCCAAGCAGGAACAAATGCTCATTTTCGCACACGTTCCATTCCGTTCCTCCGGCTCATCTTTTTCTTCTTCTTCTTCTTCTGTGTATCTTTCTTCTTGTTCCCTTCTGCATCCCGCTTTGCGCTTCGTCGCCCAAGAGTTCTCCTTCTCCTCCTCTATCTTACTCCTCATTCTCGTCTTTCTGCCTCGTCCCGCCATGCTCCTTCCCTTCATTCCCTCCTCCCCGTTCTCTTGCCCTGCTGGTCCTCTTCTTCCTCGTCCTCCCTCGCTCTAGAGTCGTCGATTCAGGGCCGTTCCCAACAATCCCTTCAAACAACCAACTGGTCAACAAACCCCACCCTCATTCTATCCCCTCCCTCCCTCTTCCCTCGTTCTCGCCTCCCCATCTGCATACACCTATCCCCTCTTTTCCATTATGAATAACTCCTCCCCGTCGCACCCCGAGGCTGATCGAAAGGGCGGGCCGGGCATTTCGCTTCGGATTAAATTACCATTTATGAGCCTGAAGTTGAAACATTGACAATTGTTTCACAGGGCGGGTGGTTTTCAAAATGTGGTCCTCGCCTGAGCGCCGCGCACATTCGTTGTAGGAAATTGAAAGAGCTCCCAATATTGACGGCGGGTGGTTTTCAAAATGCGGTTGTCGCCTGGGCGCCGCGCACATTCGTTGTAAAAAGTTGCAAGAATTCTGCGGATCGAGGGCGGGCCGATTTCAAAGTGTAGTCCTCGCATTGGCGCCGTGCGCATTCGCTTTTTAAAAATTGCAAGAGCTTCACGGATTGAGGGCGGGTGGTTTTCAAAGTGTGGGCCTCGCATTAGCGCCGCGCACCTTCGTGCCAAAGTTTACAAGATTTTGACAGACTCCAATTGTTACCGTGCCAGAAACTACGTTTTGGAATGATTCAGGCTCGTCAGGGCGCAACAGTTACGCTGTTCGCGGTATCGAAGTCCCAGGATTGGTGTTCTGGCACGATTCAGGATCGTCAAGACGCAATCGTCAGGTTCATTCGAGGCGTTGAATTCCCGAGAATGCTGTTATGACACGCTTCAGGATCTTCACACGGTTGTCCTCCAACGCAGCGTTTCTTGCAGTGGCAATGAATATTTGGAGGGGCCTATGAAGAGGGAGTTTGAGGGGAGCATTCATTCCAACATCGTAGATGAGTCTTGGGTTTACACTGGTTGTCTCCACCCCCTCCTCCTCCTCATTATGTTTCCTCTTCTTCTTCTTCATCATCCTCCCTCACACCTACTGCTTGCGTTACGGGACACTGCGTCCACTGCTCATCTTATGCCTCCTCCTTTTCGGGAGGACGGGGAGGAGGAGGAGGGTTGGACGAGGGAGGGAGGAGGAGTAGGAGGGTTGGAGGAGGGAGGGAGCGGGGTTGGAGGAGGGAAGGAGGAGGACGAGAAGAGGCGAAGGAGAAGGAGGAGGAGGAGTTGGACACCGGGAAAGGGGCCCGTAGCACGGGAGCTCTACAGGGCCCCACGCTGGGTATCATCCTTGCTGTGGTCCGACGCTCTCTCGTCTTCGTGGGAGGTTGGTAGACCTCCTGCCCTGACACGTCGATTAAGGAACTGGCCGTTTTCGGTTCGCGAGAGGGCGTCGCGGCCGTCATTTTTGCGGGTCGAGGTCCGTCGGTTTCGGTCCCAGGCCGTTTTCGTTGAGGGGAGGTTTACTAAAGGGAGGTTTGTCCACCGCCGACTTCGGTGCGTCCGAGTGGGCGCGCCAGAACAGGAAGCTCATGTGAGACGTTCAAGAAAGAGCTTTGCTTTCGAGAATCGAATGAGTTGATGCCTCTTCCTCGGGAGAAGGCCAGCGGAAGGCGGCGGAAGTACAACGAGGCCGCCTCCGCCGTCGGAAGCCCGCGAAAGTTCGGCGGAAGCTCGGCGGAGGCCAGCGGAAGTAAAAGCCGGCCTCCCAAAATGTGGCACGACTTGTTGGTTCTGGGATGTTCGAACCCGCCATGGCTCGCATGAAGGCGTGGCTCCCCTTTGGGGCGGAGACCCTCGCCCAGGTCCCGCGTCTCCCTCCTCCTCTCGAAGGGGCGGAGCACGGCAGGGGGGGAGAGCCAACGCCGAGCAGCCCCAGCAGCCCGAGCCCAAGCCCGAGCCCGAGCCTCAGAGGACAACTGCGCCGCGGCCCCAGCTCCAGTTCTGGCCCTTGCTCCGCCACGGCCACGGCTGCGTTTGTAATCGGTATCTTCGAGTGCGCTACGGCTGCTGACGGTCCAGGCATGCGCCAGACTGGTCACGCGCCGACTTGTCTTCTTTAATATTTGAAAGCGGCGTTCTTACGCCGGAAGACATAGACAACTTTGCGCTCGGAGGAGCAATGGGCGCGTGTGCAACGGCTCGGCGAGGTTTCTGTTCTGGGATTGACTTGGTTTGCGAATTTGTTTAGCGAAGAAAAAAAATCCGCCACGGCCACGGCTCCAGCTCCGTGTCTGCGACCGGCCCGGGCTCCAGCTCCCGCTCTCGGGCCTGCTCGCGCCCGGGCGCCTCCCGGCCACTGCCGCGAGCCTTGCGCACGCGAGCGCGTGCGACGGAGTGCCCTCGCCTTCCAGCTGGGAAAGCACCGATGCCGAGCTGCTGGAATCTCACAATCAGGAGAGGAAAAAACACACAGACACAATTAATCCTCGATTTTCCAGAAAATATGGGAAAATATGGGAAGTGGGGGGGAAGACAGAAACACAGAAAATATGGGAAAATATGGGGGATCTTTTTATTTGTGTGTATTTATTTGTGTGTCCTGGAGCCCCTTCACACAAGCCGGCCCAGCCGTTGCCACTGCGCTGCTTGCCATTGCCGTTCTGGTTGGCCCGGCTGGCCCGGGGGCTCCAGGTTCAGTCGGTTCAGTTGGTCCAGAGGTCTTGCCGCCACCCTTCGGGGTCGACTGCTTGCTGCCACTGGCCTTGCCGCTGTTGCCCTTGGCCTGCGTCGGTTGCGTAGTGCCCTTGGCTGCAGCTTTGTCGGCGCGGCTCAGGGCCATCTGCGCTTTGCCACGGGCGTCACGGACGATTTCGCGGTCCAATGATTGAAAGAAGTGTGAGATGTCTGCCTCGCCATCTCGTGGCGCGCGAGCCAGTCGTAGAAATAAGCCGTGTGCACGCCGCCAGATTCCTCGGCCACCCGGGTCAGCAAGAAGACCTAACCCAGGATTTCGGACGCAGAACAGACCTTCATGATGCAGACGCTACGGCTACGGCTCCGACTACGGCCACCTTGTCCTCGCGCTGTCACGTCGCTTGCTTCCCAGATCACCCTCTCCGCCACCTTCCCCGTGCCGCGGCCACACGGCGGCTCGGTGCGCGGGCACATTTCTGGGGCTTTGCGTTATGATGCTCCAGCCTACTTTCGCCTGATCACCAGGAAGATTTTCGGGCGCCCCAAAAAGTACCGAAACTCAAGGGACTTTCACGTGTCGGGCCCTGGGAGACACTCGCCCGACACTGTTTCGACACTCTTTTGACACTTTTCCGGGTGCTCGAAATTATTTCTGGGATGTGGTCCTTAAGTAGGATGGGAACAACATAAGCCTTGCGGTGCGCCGGAAGGAGGATAATGCACCATTGCCACAAGTGTGCGGAGGCTTCCACGGGCACTCGCGGCCACCTCTTGCGGTAGCCCTCTCAGGGTCAGGAAGAATTTCAGCACGGGGAGAGGGCAACAAGGCCTGAGCCCCGTCTCCTGAGGCAGTGGGCTACAAGATACCCGCGGTCCTGCCTGGAAAGCTCGACGCTGCGGGCATGCCAGGCGAAGAAAATCGGGCCGGACGAATGGGGGGGATTGGGAAAGGGGGGGTTACGAAATTTGCTGCATGCAGCTGGTTTCGGCCCCACCGAGGGGCCCATTCCTCGATACTTGGCCGTCTCTGGCGCCGGGAGGCGCCGGGCAAATCAGTTACGTGAGCTGATTCTCGAACCCCCCCTTTGCTATCCCCGCCTTTCGCCCGGCCCGAGAAAAGAGAAGGGGGCCCCATCACTTGACGGCGGACGCTTGAAGCCACCGCGCCTGAGGCGGGCAACCAGTGCATGGCCCCACACAAGGGCGTTGGCACCCACAGTCCCGTCGATTTCTAACAAGCATCCATCCTCCTCCTCCTCCTCCCCCCTCCCTCCTCCACCCACAGGCCCCGATCCCGACAGAGGCCGCGCGGGGATCGGGGCGGGGAGTCTCTCCCCCCATCAGGTTCGTGGACGACCGGAGGCCTGGCGAGGATGCCGAGTTCAGCGGCATCAGGAATCGTGGGGATGTGGTAAGAGAAGGAGGAGGAGGAGGAGGAGGAGGAGGAGGAGGAGGAGGAGGAGGAGGAGGAGGAGGCGCGGGAGGAGGAGGAGGAGGAGAGGAGAGAGGAGGAGAGGAGTAGAGGAGGAGGAGAGGAGGAGAAGGAGGAGGCGCGGAGAGGAGGAGGAGGAGGAGGAGGAGGAGGAGGAGGAGGAGGAGGAGGAGGAGGAGAGCCTGTGAAGGAGAAGAAAAGACAGGGCCATCCTTGGGTCTCTTGGAGGCGTGCTGGAGGTCATCTTGGGGTGCACTGCACCACCTTGGAAGCCAAACCATTTTATCTCGGCGAATGGCAGCCACGCCCCCACCCCCGGACCGTCCAGTCCCAGAGGAGGAGTTTCTTCCTACCAGCGGACCACTTCGACTAGCGCCGGCCAGTGCATCAGCGCGGGATGGACTCCAAGACGGCCCACGACGCCCCAAGGCGGCCCCAGACGGCCAGCCAAGAGAAGACACGACGAGTCGAGACGAGAGCACACGTGGCCAGACAGGAGGCTCCCGCCCGAGAGGTCAGCCTCGTCCAAGAAACTTGGGGCAATCAGTGAGGAGTGCCTTCCCGCCGTGCTGCTCGCGAGGGGCTCCCGCGGCCTCAGGATGGCTGGCCTCGAGAGGGCCCCGAGAGAGCCCCACGCCGCTCCTACCCCCAGGAGGCCCCGAAGAGGCCCCCAACAGGCTCCCGAGACGCCCCCCCGGACACACTCGAGAGGCCCCTGACGGGCCCCAGGAGGCCCCCGGGAAGCTCTCCCCCTCCCCCCTACCCCTCCCTCTCCAACCCCTCCCTCTCCTCCTCGCCCCTCGCCTCCTGGCCCCTCGCAGGCGCGTCATGCCCATGCGGCAGGAGGAGTTCCTCTGCGCGCGCTGCGGCCAGACGCTCAACTGGGGCGCGGCCACGGGCCCGGAGCTGGCGTGCGACTGCGGCCACAGGCAGCCCCTCGACAGCGGCAGGCCCCTCTACGAGGACTTCGGCCGGCGGGCCGCTTCAGAGGGCCAGGGTGGCGTGGAGGGAGGGTTCACTGCAACCTCGTTGATGAGTCTTGGGTTTGCACTGCTCCTCCTCGTCCTCCTCCTCGTCCTCCTCCTAGTCCTCCTCCTCCTCCTCCTCCTTCCCTACCTCCCTCCCTCCCTCCCTCCCTCCTCCCTCCTCCTCCTCCTCCTCCTCCTCCTCCTTCTCCTCCTCCCTCCCTCCCTCCCTCCCTCCCTCCCTCCCTCGCTCCCTCCTCCCTCCTCCTCCATCCTTATCCTCCTCCTCCTCTTCCTCCTCCTCCTCCTCGTCCTCCTCCTCCCTCCCTCCCTCCCTGCCTCCCTCCCGCCTTGTTCCTCCCTCCTCCTCCTCCTCCTCCTCCTCCTCCTCGTCCTCCTCCTCCTGATCCCTGCTCCTGCTCCTGCTCCTCCTGCTCATGGCCCCCAAACGCCTACCAGGGCACGGCGGGCCACCCCAGAGGGCCAGGGGGTGCGCACGGACAGCCCCCATCTAGGCAGCCCACCCAGGCGGGCCTTAAGAGGCCCACAGGGAAGCGCAGTGCCGTCTCCGGGAGACTCCGACATCCCAGCCCCAGCAGGGTCCTTTTCGATCCAGCTTGTCCGATTCGTTAACGGTTTCGGCCGGCACGATCGGGTTCGACTTCGATGTTCCGACGATCCGATGCGGCCCGATGCTTGCAGGTTGCTGATGTGCACCTTGGCGCGGCCGATGCGACTCGATCCCACGGGCCGTGCCGATGCGGCTTGGTTCCATGCACGTGTCGATCCGATCCGAATCCCCGACTCGACGTCTGCCGAGCCTGCCCCGGCCCCGCGGCGGTCCGCGCCCGAGGGGAGCGGAGGCAGTGCTGGGACCGCCCCTGCGAGTGGCTCGGACGCGTGCGCGTTTCTCGGCGAGGCCAGCGCCAGGAGGTCTGGGCCAGCTTTCGGGCAGTGGCGAGGGGTCCTGGCTCGCCGATAGGCCTGCCAAAGAATGGTCTACGAACTGTTTGTGGTCTGCACGAAGTGTGCTTAGACCATGTCTTCCTGGGGCTGTCGTGTTTGAACACATCGGGCTCATGTTCTAATAACATTGCTGTGTTCCTAGAGCATTTCCGGGTTCTAGAAGATTTCGTGGTAGGCTTATAGAATGCGAGGACGGTCGGTCCCTGCTCAAATCTAGGAGCATCTTGGATCACCTTGTGGAACAACAAGCACGCACGAAGCCAGACAATGCAGGGGGAACAGACGGCCGAGCGACGGCCAGGTTGGACTGCCCGTGCGCATGGCCAAGCCTCGGCAAGGGTGTCCAGGAGAGCGTCGCGCGCCGCATGGGGTGCTGCTCGTGCGGCGGCTCTCGAGCGCACAGTGAAAGCAACCGAGCAGATCCCCCCAGGGCCCAGATAAAAAACGTACAGAAAGGGAAATAACCAGTCGACTTTGGTTGTTTTGTTTCAGGCCTCCCAGATGGGGACAGAGTTGATGAGGTAGGTGGCTTGCGCCAGATCGCCGATGCATCAACGATGGGTGTGATGTGGAGCCCGATTTTCTCCAAGCCGACTTCGCCGACGTCGCCGATGCATCGCCGTTTGGCGGCCGCCAAATTCGCCAGCCGACTTCGATTGTTTTGTGGGTCTTGAAGGGTCTGTTTGGTCGTGCCTGGGCCACCTGGCCCGATTTGGTTGTGCACGAGGCCCCCTGGCCCTTCTGGTGGCCCGCCGGCCGCTGCGCGAGGACGTGGAGGTGTACCAGCGCATTGCAGCCCCGTTTTGGATGAAGGTCGGATACTGCCAGGGTCACCCAGATTTCCGATGCGCTCAATCCCGATATCCTGTTTCTCGAGCTCGGGTTCCGGCCTACGTTGTTGGGCCCCAGGGCCATCAAAAATGGACCCAGGGCAAACCATCGAAGAAGAAAAAAACGCATAAACATAAACCGTTGGCGCTCCGCGCGGATTTCTTGCAACCGCGCCTGGGCCCCCCTGGCGGCGCCTCCGGCGCCGCCCCTGGCGCGCTCCACGCGCTAGGGAGGGGGGTCCAGCGCGAATCCAAGAAATCCGCGCGGACCGCCAAAAGTTTATGTTTGTGTGGTTGCTTCTTCTTGTGAAAAAAGACGCCTCAGGAAAGGGGTCGGGCCTTCTGGGGCTGCGGATTGAAGCAACTCATGTCGGAGGGTGTCTGGGCACGCTGCTGGCAAACGCTTTTCTGTAGGTTCGCGCCGTGCTCACGCGGCGGTGATGCTTACCGTGGCGGGCGTGTCAGGTGGAGCGCCGCCCGTGGCCGAGTAGCGGCCGATATCGAACGACCTTCGTTGCCGGGGAGCCACGACTCTTCGAGGTTGACGGATGACCGCCGACATCCTCGCGACTCTCACTGAGTCAAAACAGATGACCAATCCCAAAAACGCGAGGGCCAAGACAAAGCGCAGGCTCCTCGAGACTTCGGGGAGGGAGATTTTGGGGTAGGGCTTTACCATTGCGACGACGACGACGAACGCAAAACATACCTCGAAATTTTTGGCCGCTCTTCGAATCCTCGGTGAATCCGCGATTTTGGGATTGGGGATGTGTTTTTTCGTGGTCAGATTTAGCCCGAGGTGGTCGAACAGCGAAGAAATGGCCATAGCGCTGCGGGGGGGGTGGATGGAGGGGGCATTAGGGGGGGTTAGGAGTGGAGCTGCGGGGAGGGGTCAATACAAGGGGTTCCCCGCGAGAGGGGGTGTTTTTGTCATCAGGTTTCATGCGGACGGTGGGACTTGCGCGTGCTCGTGCAACAAATTGTCGCATGTCCCGCTCGATGCGCCGAGAGGGCCTAACTTCCTGATTGCGAGGCGCAGCACGAATGGAAACAACGAAACAACTCGACGAATCTGCCATCTGCTGTACAGCGCGGCAGCGGAGACTGGGCTTGTGGCAACTGCGCCCCGGCAGAATCCGAGAAGGCCGATGATGAGGGCTCCGGCGAGAAGAAGCTCTCCGGTGGCCTGGAGCACCCGCTGATCGACATGGAGTGCTCGCAGTGCGGCCACCACCAGCTGCACTTCTGGACCCGGCAGCTGCGCTCGGCCGACGAGGGCCAGAGCGTGTTCTTCCTGTGCCCCAAGTGCGGCTACCGCACCGTCGACAAGTGACGCCGGGGCGGTCCCCGCCGGCGAAGCCTGGCTCGAAGCGCTCTCGGCTCCGACCGCCGAGGGCCTGCCTGGGCCACGCGAGCGCGGGGAGGCCAGAAGCAAGCCCTCCTCCGACCGTGGAGGGTCTCTCTGCGTCTTGGCCGTCCTCCCGCCATCCCTTGCATCTGGCAGTCTGGCAACAGGTCTCGTGGACGCCCGAGGAGGCAAGAGGAGATAGAAAGACGGGGCGTGGCATCCCACGCGGTGGCTACCCCCCGTCCCAAGACATGATCGTGTCGTAGAAAATCAGGACGGGCGATTGTCGGCCGTTTTCGGCCTCGGGAGGCCCGCCCCAGGCCTCGGGACCGTCAAAAGACGATTCAGGATGAAGAGCCGGTCCCGGGGAAAGTTTCGAGACTTCGGGGACGCCGTATTGAAAAAGTCATGACGCCAGACGGCCCACCGCGTTTGCCACGCGACTGGGAGCGCCCCCGTCGCCGAGCGTGCCGAAGCGTGTGCGGCAGCATCTCCCGCACGACCTCGGCGGGGCGCGCGTTGCGGACGACGAGAGCAGGAAGGCTCGGCGCGATGCTGCGATCCGACGACGACGACAACGACGACGACGACGACAAAGACAAAGACAGTGACGACGACGACAACGACGACGACAGACGACGACGAGACGACGACGACGTTTACCACGACGACGACGACGACGACGACGACGATGACGACGACGACGACGACGACGACGACGACGACAGTGCCACGTCTTCCCCCCCGCTCGTTGGCTGCCCAGGGGGCGAACGAAGTACGCGCACGGACATGAATCCCAGGAGGAGAAGGAGGAGGATCAGGCGTTCGCAAACATGGATCAAGGGGGCGTGGATTGGCGGCGGGCCCTGCTTTTTCGTGGGAAATCGCGCTGCCTCCGCCGCCGAATCAGGCGGCACCCGCCGCATTTTGGGGGAAGGCGTCTTCCCTTGTCCATGGATTTGGCGGCCGCGCGCCAGATCCATGGATCGCTGATCCATGCTTGTGCGCCCCCGAGAGGAGCAGGAAGGCTCGGCACGATGCTGCGATCCGCGGGGCGCGGGGCGTCAGCGCCACGTCCTCCCCCCCGCTCGCTGGCTGCCCGCCTCGCCTCGCCCCCCCCCTCCTCCTCCTCCTCCTCCTCCTCCTCCTCTCCTCCTCCTCCTCCTCCTCCTCCTCCTCCTCCTCCCCTCCTCCTCCTCCTCCTCCTCCTCCTCCTCCTCCTCCTCCTCCTCCTCCTCCCTCCTCCTCCTCCTCTCCTCCTCCTCCTCCTCCTCCTCCTCCTCCTCCTCCTCTCGGTCGTTGAAAGTAGGTGTTATTGGATTTCCAGATCCCAGTCTACTCTAGCCGCCTGCCTACTTCAAGAGTAGAGTGGTTCTCCCTCGTCCCTCCTCTTCGGGAGGCGGGCGGAAGCCCAAATCGACTTTCGGCGCCTTCCTACTTCATGTTTCTACCTGCTTCTTCCGACCGATGGGTACTCGCTCCCTCGCTCATCCTCCTCGTTGCCTCTTCGGTCACGCCCCCCCGCGGATCCGACATCGGGACAACAATTGCAGCATCGTGAAGCATCGCGACCACGAGACGGATCGATCTGTGATGACCCTGGGGCCCCAGACGAGGCAGAGTCGCACGTGGCGAAGCCATTGCGGCGCCAGGATCTCAGGGCCGCTGGCCTGCCGTTTGTTGCCCCTCGACCACGCGCAGAGACCCCGGGTTTAATCGGGCACGTCCCTCTACAGGAGGAATGTTCAAACATAGTCTCACGCACCCCCCAAAAAAACGGGGATGATTTTTCTACTATGTTTGGCGAGTGCTGATTTTGCTTTCACCATTCCTAATTGTTCCTTCCAAGCTCTGCCTGTAGGAGGACGCGCCCGACCCAAACCTGGGAGGAGCCCTGGGAGGCGCCCCGGGCCTCAGGAGGCACCCTGGGAGGCGCCTTGCCGGCGGAGCCTCAGGAGGCCCCAGGAGGCGCCCTGGAGGTCACCGCTCCCGCCGCCGTCGCCGTCGCCGTCGCCGTCGCCGCCGTCGCCGTCGCCGTCGCCGTCGCCGTCGCCGCCGCCGCCGCCCGCCCGCGCCGGCCCGCCCGCGGCGCCCAGCGGCCGCCCGGCTCCGAGAGCCGAGCCCCGGGGGCCCTTCGGCCGCCAGCCGCCGCCGCCCCCCCCCGCGGGGGCGTGCCGCCGACCGCCGGCGCGGCTCCTCGCCGAGCGCGCCGCCCGGCGGCCGCCGGGGAGGCGCGCCAGGGTCGAAGAGCGCTTGCCACCGCTCGGGCGTCCACTCCCCAGGGGGGATGGTTGTTCAGGAGCGAAAGAAGGACGTACATGTACATGAATCCACGCTGGTTTCGAGAGTTTGCACTGCGCGAGTGTTCGTATCGCGCGGCAGGTCTCGCGGGTCAAGGGGCCGTGTTCATGTACATAGCTGGGCGCGTACGTCCTTTGTGTGCTCCCTAGTTGTCTCGTCCATCGTTTTGCCGATCGGCGAGGCCCCTCGCTCAGGGGCAACGAGAGGGGGGGGGGGGGGGCATAGGGGGGGGGGAGGCATCGGCCCCCGATCGCCCACTGGTCGGCGATAGGGGCCCGCTAACCCCAACCTGCCCAGGAACGTGCGGATTCACTATCCGAGGCCTATCGCCGATGTATCGGCGATGTATCGCCGATACCGGGTCGATGTGTCCCCCACTATGCCAGTCCCTCCCTATCGTTGCCCCTCACTCGCGCCTCCCCCCCACCCCCTCACATGGAGTAGATCCTGGCTGTTTCGGGCGCCTGTTTCGAGCAGGTGGGGTCTCCCCCATAGCACGCACTGCTGCAAGCCGTCGCATGAAGCAGAGGTCCGGAGCCAGCCCCCTTCCGCCCAATGCCGAAGCGCCGAATAAGAAAATATTCCCCATGCCATGTTTCGGTGTCGTGCGCTTGCCCTTCTCTGGACGATCCAAGATGCTCCTGGGTGGACCTCGCCGAGAAGAACTGCACACGTCCGAGCGATGCCAAAGAATCCAAAATTGAGTAGCCTACCGTTTCGTAGCTCCGCGCGAATTTCTCGGATCTGCGCTGAGCCCCCCCTGGCGGCGCCTCAGGCGCCGCACCTGGCGCGCTCCGCGTGCCAGGGAGGGAAGGCCAGCGCTCATCTCGACTCCCCCGACTCGGCTCGATTCGATTTCGATGTTTTCCGATTCGGCTTCGGATTCCGATCTGGATTCCGGTGAGGTTTCGCAACTAAATCGTTGTTTATGTTTGTGGCAATCCTGCCACGGTGCGCATGTGAATCGAGGTGCGCAGCGCGAGCCCATCCTCAGGCGATGCTGCGTCGAGGCGAGGTGTCCCTGAGCACAGAAACCGCTCACCGTCGTGAGAAAACGGCACGGAGCGAGTTCACCCCCGACGGCGGAGGAGGAGGAGGAGGAGGAAGAGGGGGAGGTCGCGGCCAGGGGGAGGAGAGGGAGGAGGAGGAGGAGGACGTGGCTAGGTCTGCAGCAAGGCCAGCCGGGGTGAGTTCACCCCCGACGGTGGAGTAAGCCCTTCTCTACGAGAAAACTTGCAGGATTTTTTTTATGTGTATATATATATATGAGTTACCCATGAGCAGGTTCCCGATTCGGCGTTTGCACTTGGGGGCCCCCTCAACCTGTGCCCGCGGTCCGACGGCCCTGCTCCGGCCGCCGCCGCCCCGTCGCCGCCCGTCGCCTGGGCCTCGAGGGCGGTCTGGCGGTTTCGTGCCTGCCGTCGCCGCCCCGTCGCCGCCCCGTCGCCACCGTTGGATTGCGTCGTCGTCGTCTTCGTCGTCGTCGGTGTCGTCGTAGTCGTTGTCGTCGTCGAAGTCGTCGGAGACGTCGTCGGTGTCGTCGTAGTCGTTGTCGTCGGTGTCGTCGTTGTCGGTCTTAAGAGGTTTTGCAAACCAAGTTGCGGGTGGGTGGGTGGGATGTTTGCGCGAGCAGTGGAGATGACGACTTCAAGTTCAGCAGAGTGGATTGCAACACATAGACTGCGCGACAAACGTCGCGCCTGCGGCGCAGTTTTTGTGATCGCTCGCGGCACAGACTGCACCACATAGCTGGCACATTGTAGACTGGATCACACAGACTGCACAGCCAATATCGCGCAACCACCCATCTTGCACCATAGATTTCACTACTCATATGGCAAGGCAAATGCCGCACAACTGCGTAGACTGCACAACATGTTTTAACAACCTAGCTTGCACCGCATAGATCGCACCGTGTATATTCTCCATTTCAAAAAGGAAATAGGTTCTACCACCCTCCCCCCCCCTGGACTTATCGATTCCCCAGGAACCTATGCAAAACACATATTATTCTGACCCAAAGTCCATCCTACGTGTGAAGTCATACTATCCCAGCCAGGCCGGTATCGGTCCCCCCTCGGTTCCATTGCAGAAAATATTATACGGTGATATCTTTTGTTCTAACATCATAGTTTGCACGAATCCCTTGTAAAAGATACCATGCGGGGCACACGAGCACGGCCGCTGCGCGCGCATGTCGAAATCCTTCCAAACGCATGGTGTGTTGAACAATTTCAACATCCCGCGTCAAGAAAACTTATGAAAACATACGACTTTCTAGCCCAACAAAGCGGAACAATCTGCCCGCGCGTTCTTGCCGAGTCCTTGAAAACCAATGGTTTGTTTCAACATTCTTGTCAAACCGTGCTTCTTGAGCAAATGTTGCGCGCACGTCGATCTAATTCAACAACGGTCGCGCGCATGCCCAGGCCACAATTGTAAAAAATAACATGCGGGGCACATGCGCGCGGCCGCCGCGCGCGCAGGTCGAAGTCTTTCCAAACACATCGTGGCTTCAAACATTTCAAGACCGAGCCTCATGAAATCACACTAATCGTACCATACTTCCTCGAAACAGATCTGCACCATAATCTAAAATTCTACCCGCGCGCGCTTTCCGAATCCTAAATAACAAATGGTTGTTCAACATTTCTGTCGTGCGAGCAACTTATGCGGGCGCGTCGAACGCCTTCAACATCGGTCGTGCGCCTGCCAGGGCCACAATCCCTTGAAAAGAAGGCCATGCGGCCACATGCACGCGGCCGCCGCGCGCGCATGTCGAAATCCTTCCAAACACTGTGTTTTCAACCACGCCAATACCGAGCTTCATGGAATCACACGAATCGCACCATACTTCTTCAAATAATCTGCGAACAAAAGTCAAAATGCCTACCCGAGCGCGCTTTCCGAACCCGAAAAGACCAACGGTTTTTCAATATCTCGGTCATGCGAACAAATTGTGCGCGCGCGTCGAACTCCTTAAACATCGGTCGCGCGCTTGCGAGAGCCACCATCCCTTGTGAAAAACACCATGCACGGGACATGCGCGCGGCCGCCGCGCGCGGATGCCGAAATCCTTCTCGTCGTCGTCGGCGTCGGCGCCGTCGTCGTTGTCGTCGTCGTCGAAGTCGTCGGAGTCGTCGTCGGTGTCGTCGTAGTCATTGTCGGCGTCGTCTTCGTCGTCGTCGTTGTCGCTGTTGTCGTCGGCGTCGGCGTCGTGGCCAAGTGCCATTTGGTACG